ATTAAAACAAGCTTGGAAGCAGGAGTGGCATCCACTTCCATAAATAGCTTGCCTCCGGAAACCCTATGAACCTGGAGAAAGGATGAAAGTCACGCAAGTGGTGAGAACTTTTGTTCATAGGGTCGCTATGAGTCACCTACGACTCAACAGCACTTAACAGCAACAACAACAATGACATGTCAGACAAGGGACTTAAATCTAGAATTTATTAAATACATGAGCACCAAAACAAGATAAAGCTAAATAACCCAATGGAAAATGGACACAGGATATGAGCAGACATGTCACCAAAGAAGACAACCAGATGGCAAACAAACACATGAAGAAATGTTCAAAATTCCTAGATCTAAGAGAGATGTAAATCAAAACAACTATGAGATATCATCTCACCCCAGGAAGAATAGCAAAAGATAACAGAGCAGCAAACATCAAATACTGGCGAGGCTGTGGAGAAACTGGAACCCTTATATGCATACCCATGTTTATTGTTGCTTTGTTCACAATAGCAAAGACCTGGAAACAACCAAGGGCCCATCAACAAACGAATGGATAGAGAAGGTGTGGTATATTCACACAATGGAATATTATGCAGCCCTGAAAAACCAAATAACTCATGAAATACTATACAAAATGGGTACCCATGGAGGACATTATGCTGAGTGAAATATCTCAGTAACAAATGGACAAATATGGCATAATACCACTGTTATAAAACAGAACTGATAGGAGGGTTGGGGAAAACTAAGAAAAGAGGAGATAAATAATGTACACGGTATTGAAACAGATGCGAGAGAGAACTGTTTAAAAGGAATATATGATTGGGTATTATTTTCATGACAGGAGTCCAGTATTAAGGCTGCACAGTGGAGTGAACTTGGGAGGAGGGACTGCACAGCAATGAAAGAGTTTTTTACTTTTTAAGGAGAAGAGTGAATTGTGGGGTGGGGGTGGGAAGGGAGAAAAGTGCAACAAAGAGTGACTGGAAACACTAAGTCTCTGTAAACTTTCATTTAAATTAATCTAAAAAAATAGTATACACAGGATCTCAAAAGAAAATTCTTATATGAAAGCACAGTTACCCCAAATTTTAAAATAATTGGTAATATAGTCATATATGAAACCCAGTGACACTGAGTTGATTCAAGGTCACTGTGACCCTATGGGACAAAAGTAAAGTGAGTCTATAAATTGCCTGGGAGGAGAGTGCTTGTCTTTCTCCTGTGGAGCAGCTGGTAGATTTAAACTGCCAGCCTTTGGTATGAAAACATGTTGGGAACATTTTGGGACAGTTCTACCTTGTCTTACATGGTCACTGTGACCTGGAATCAACTCGATGCCCATGGGTTTCATATATTACTTACTGTATTACCAATTGCCTTTAAATTTTACGCAACTGTGCTTTAGTATAAGCACTTTCTTTTGGGATCCTGTGTGTTTTATTTTATGCCATCAATGTTTTTTATATATTTTATGCATTTGAAACCTTTGTTTTGAATAGGGATACAGACTATCAAATTATCTATTGAAACAAATATGTTCAGACTCCCTGAAGCTTCATTTTATAATCAAATTAGTAATAATGTATATAATTTTAATAATGATATAAAAATAATAATTTTACAATTAATTTTAAAATCTTTAAGATGTATCATTATTGTTGAAATGTTAAAACTGCATATTCACAAAAGCATTTGATTGAAACAATGTGCCAACCAGAGTGGCAATATATTTCCAACTGATTCATTTTAAAGCACCTCAAAAGAATTCCTAGTTGTTACTGTTGTTAATTCGAATACTACTCATAGCATCCGACCCTATGAACAAAAGACCTAAACCCTGTTCTATAACTATTGTTATTTCTTCAAGTTTATAGAGTTTCCAGAGGCATGTGGTTTAGGAAGTGGATGCCCTATTTGCTTTTAAATTTGTATCAGTCCGGGAGCTACAACAAACACTGTCCATGATGGATAACCTTTATGGCATTTGACACACCTATGACAGCAAATAGACCACTGCTGTACCACTTAGAAGAATGTTCACCTCAAAATCAATTATCACACAAGAAATCATTTTCCAGAATCCAACCACTTCACAGGAGCCTCTAACCTGCAGACTTAGTCTGGTACTACTGCCTTTTAAATACAAGGCACACCCACAAAATGTTAGTTGACTGTAAACTGAGAGACCTCTGGCTCACAGCTCTTTGTTAGCTAAATCTGGCAAATCCAATCAGCTGACATCCGATTGTGGGCCAAGAAAACCAAAAAACAGCCCAACGTTCCATAAATAATTCCAAGAGCATTACAAAAACCAAGTAAGTAATTGCTCTCATAGGACTTTCTATGTTTTAGCAATAATATAAGTTTATGGCTGTATCAGTTCTAGGGCCTTACCAAAGTGTGAGCTCTGGCCTTTGGATTCATGATTATTTTGGTTGCAATGGAAACATGTGAAGCAAGCAAGTTAAGAGATGACAGCACTTTTAAAGTGGTTAATTACTACAAACGTGTAATTTATTATAAGTAATATGAGTAGAACTTAATGGCAAACATAAACAAAGTAAAAAGGAATTTTCATAGAGAATTTAGAGGCCACTGACTTATTTCTAAGGTGAATAATCCTATCTTGTAGCTGAGTTAGTATTTGTTGTCATGATTGTAAAGCATTGCTTGCATTGTCCCATTCATCCTATTCCTTTGTTTGCCCCAAACCACAGATTCTGTAAAATCTCACCTATTTTATTTCAGTCTCTACTGTCTGTCACATATGAATGAAATCTATCTCAGGAATAACACACTGCTTAGTTAGTTTTTTAATATATGCTAGTTTGCTTCTGTTCAAGAGGAAGAAAAATATTATTTATCTCTTTCTTTCTGTGTGTATGTGTATGTGTGTATTTCCTATTATTGGATGGTGGAAGGAACACAATCTTCAGGAAATGCCTAATTGCTTTGCTTTGCAAACTCTGAAATAGTTTAATTTGCTTGTGCATATATTTTGTTGGGAAACAGAATTCTCTAGCCACTCTATTTTTTATTTTTTTTTTGTTAATGGAGAAAAGGGCCTTCTTAAAAGAATTACATCATTCTGGAAAGAAAATTATGCCAAAACCTCAGCAGAAGAAGCTACTCAAAGCTAGTAATACGGAAATAGCTCTCATGTTGAAACTGACCCTGTTTTCTTCTTTTCCTCTTAGGTTTGCTGAATTCTTGTTTACTGAGGAGTTCAAAGCTGGTTCACGAGTTCTTGAAAGTATCTACAGCTTGTATGAAGGTTTCTCCGGGACAGTGTGCTTTCTGATTGATCTACTGCAGCCCAATCAGGCTGAATTCCCTCTCTTCAGTGTGTTTGTTTAGAAGGCACCGTCTTTTCCACTGTGGCTCCCGAGAAGGCCCCTGAGATTCAATGGGATCACAGCCATGAGCCTTAACATTGCTGCCAGGAGGAAGGGAGCAGGCAGGTGAAGGCAACTTGATACCAGACTCAATGTAGAGAACACAGTCTGAGAATCTGAACAATAAAGACAATACCACCCTTTTAAAGATGGTAGAAATTTCAGGGAATAAATGTGAAACCAGTGGTCAGAGGGAAAAAGGAAAGACAGCAGATCTATTTTTCAGTCACGACTGAAAAAAATCTGACCAACACAATATTACCACCACATCAAAAGCCCAAATCTGCTATGTGAGCTAGGGTAATAAAATGCCAATCCCTTTTCAATTGGAAAAAGAGTTGGGCCATCTGTGGGTGCCCTCCATCCCTACATTCAGAAATAAAAGACAGTTAAAAGCTCAAGTGATTCCTCAATGGAAAATTGTTAGGAAAGATGAATTATCAGGTTGCTGGAGATAGTAAAAAAAGAAACTCTTGATTGTCTGAAACAACTTAATTGAAATCCAACATTTTTACTGGTTCAGCGATAGTTGCATATGAATATTTGTTCTCTTTACCCTGAGTACGTTAAAGGTACTATATCATAACTTGGTTTAAACCCTGAAATTGGAAGTTTCCTTAGGCCTTAGAATGTCTTTTTCCTGGTTCCTCTTTCTTTCATAAAGCTCAGCTAGAATCATAAAATTCACAAACTAGCAGATATGGTAGAAAGTGTTGTTATCCAGTGTTTTTCTCAAGTGTGAGCTATGCATTGTCTATTGTTAGTAATTGTTAACATGCCTTTATGTATATAGACCCTATTGAGCTATTAGCTGAACTATAAAATATATTCTTGGTAAAAAGGAAGGCATCTCAAAGATCAGGGTACCCCTCCAAAGGCATGCTGTCTCTGCCTTTAGTGGAATACTGTGGCAAAGAAAGGCAAAGAAAAGAACCAGTGTTTGTAGAAAGAGCATTGCTCAATTTTACTGTTAGAATAAGAGTTGACTGAGATCCCTGGCTGATCACCTTACCTTACAGAACATAAGTTCCACTGGAAATTCATTACAGTTCCCATTGATTGAAATTAATCCTAAAATTCAACTCTGCTGTAAACATAGACATGGTAGAACAGCTTCAAGTAAATGGTGGTTAGTAGAACACTGTTAGGAGCATCTGTCTCTTCACCACTCGGAACATAACTTCATTGCTTTCTTAGAATTCATAAATCTGAATGAGAGAGTCAGGAAATATAAATTGATCCCATGAAAACTAGACTTACTCTTTAGTTCACTGATTCCTAACTTGAGCCATAGTTGAACTTTGACATGACTTAGAAAATACTGTGTTGCCTAAAAGTTCTCTTCTGTGTGTTCTGGGGTATGTGTACAGTACACATGCATGCTCTTTTTCTTTTCTGGGAAGATTCTAGCCTTCCTCAAAACCTCAAATAACTTCATGACCAATGAGAGGTAAGAGCTGCCTTTACATACTCTCTCTATTTCATTTTCATTAAAAGGTACTAGGAGAATATTGTTTTGAAAAGCATGTGCCTTTTCACATAATTATGTCATCTTCACATCCTCAGACTTAAGCATTTAAAATTGGCTTCAGTTGGTTTGAAACATATGATGTTAGCAATTGATGCAGAAAAGGCATTAGACAAAATACAGCATCGCTTCCTAAGAAAGACACTCAGCAAAACTGGAATAGAAGGGAATTTCCTCAACATAGTGAAAAGTATATATATGCAAACCCCAAGAGCCAACATCATTCTCAATGGAGAAAGACTAAAAGCATTTTCTCTGCAAACAGAGACAAGACAAGGAGGCCCACTTTCATGACCTCTATTCAATATTGTGTTGGAAGAGCTTGCTAGGGCAATACAAGAGAAGGAAATATAAGGCATGCAGATTGGCAAAGAGATGGTTAAACTGCCACTATAAGCAGATGATATGACACACAGAAAGCCCCAAAGATTCAACAAAAAATCCTGTTAGAGTTAGTAGGTCAATTTAGTAGAGTGGCAGGATATAAGATCGATATCTAAAAATCAGTAGGATTCCTCTACAGTAATAAAGAGTACTCAGAGAAGGAAATCAAGAAAGCAATACCATTTGCAATAGCCAATCACAAATTGAGATACTTGGGAGTGAATCTAACTAGAGACACAAAAAACCTATACAAAGAAAACTACAGACCATTTCTGTAAGACAAAATAGAACTCCTAAAGAAATGGAAAAATATGCCCTGTTTATGGATAGAAAGACTCAAAATTGTGAAAATTACAGTCCTACCAAAAGCAATCTATATGTTCAATGTGATCCCAATCCAGATAATCAAGTTCATTTTTCAAGGAGATTGAAAGAATACTCGGTTTGGTACAATACTAGATAAATAGCAGCTTGCAGAGGATTCCCAAAATGGAAAGTTCTTTCATTAATAGCTAGGTAGCTCTTAGAAGGTCTCTAAGCAAAATAGTTCCTACAAAATATTCTGTTTGACATTCCAGAGATACCTGCTTTTCACCATCTGGCTTCAAATTCATTTCATTTGATCCCTAAAATGGAATACGATGTACAAGTCTTTACAGAACACATACTCTTTGTTGTTTTTGCTGTTGTTGTTGGTTTGTGGTTTTTTTTTAAGCTATCCAGTAACATCTTGAGATATGTTAGATAAAATTGGTTCTAAGTCTCATAGTGATTAAGGGACAGAACTACTTAAATCCAGAATTTCAATATTCTAAACCACCACCTGGCAATACAGTAGTAAATTAAGAAACCAGAAACTCTGTGTTTTTCTTTGATATTTATATTCTGAAGCACTACGAAGGAGCCCTGGTAGTGCAAGTGGTTAATCACTCGATTATCAACCAGAAGGTTGGCTTCCAAACCCATTCAGTGACTCGTGAGAGGAAGAACCATTCCTGTAAAGATTGCACAGAAAAAAACCTTGTGAGGCATTTCTATTATTTCACAGGGGGTTGCTAAGAGTTAAAATTGACCTGAAGACATCTCATGCACAACAAAACAGTAGGAAACGGTAACTCTTCTAATACCAGTTTCATTTCTAGAAACTCCAGAAAATCACCCTCTTTCCTGCTCACCAGTCCTTTTAAGTTGCATTTTGGTGACCATGACATTGTGTTGAACTTGAAAATGCACCTCTTTTAGAGTTTCAAATCCAAGCAAAAATCATGTTTGAGTGCTATCTAATGCCACCTCAGTAAATTAGAAAAAGGGGTAAGCTTATTTAGCTCTTGAACATGTTGTTGAAAGCTTCTTTTTTTTTTTAATGAAGAGAATAATATTTTGGAAGGGAGAGATCCTCTTCTGTATTAATATTTGGGAATATCATCTTCTGTACTGCTTTACCAAGAAGAGAGAGCAAGGATTAAAAAAAAATCCTAAACAAAGCAACTGGGGCAATGGGGGTTTGTGTGTTGGAATTGGTGAGATTGGCTCAGGACAGGACAGGCTTCAGAGCTGCTGTGGGTCTCTATGAGTCAAAGGGGACTCGATGGTACATAGCAACAACAACAACAAAGCAAAAACAAAAAACCAAATCCTTATATTTTACTGTTGAAAATCATGGCATGCTACTTCTTTCATTAACAAGCTTATTTCCTTGTTCATTTTTAATTATTGCTTTGGCATATTGCTGCTTAAAGGCCTTTAGGACAGTGTTTACACCACACTAGTATAAATTTGGGGTTCCTGGGTCATGCCAACAGTCACCATGCACAGCTTCTAATAAAAAGATTGGAGTTTCAAACCCAGAGGTTGGAAGTTTTATTTTTTTCCATACCCAGAGTAACCTAGACAGAAAGGCCTAGCAATCTACTCCCAAACATTCAGCTATTGAAAAAAAAAATTCTTATGGTGCACAGATCTATACGCCTGAAGTTACCATGACACTTGGTTAATGTAATTTTAATATTATTATATATGCCACAAACAATTATTAAATCTGAAGGAAATAGTACAAGTGTTTGAGGTTACATTGAAGGTCTCTTATTGGTGAGAGTAGATTCTCTTTTGAGAACTAGGAGTTCTGTAAATCATTAGCATTCTTTAGAATTTTGTTTCATTAATGTTGTTATATACTTTTCTTTGACACTTTCCATCAGCTCCCCCAAAATGTACATCTTTATTTTGCTCAACCCTACCTGATTGCAAAACTAAGTTTTTACTTTGTGATTGTTCCATTTGTAATCTGATAACTAAGAGAGGTTTAACAGCCTCTCTTCCTTCCTTGTGCTGCCTCCAGTAATTGACTACATGATTAAGATAATAGTATTCACTTAAAAATTGGTTGGTTTCACTTGAGAAACAAATAGAGCCATTTCTTGGTCTAAGCTAAATTGGAGTGCTTCAACTGACAACCTATTTCCTTTAATTTCTTTGGCATGCTAAGATCTTAAGTTGACATTCAGATGGTTTCAATTTCTGTAGAGAGCAAAACATGCTAATTTTAATACAAGACTTATAAATGTGTGATTTATAACCATATCAGGAAAACATACTATCAAAAGGCAAACCATTAATAGTGTAAAGAGCTCTGTGTTGTAAATCTCAAAACCTTACTCTGCTAATTAATAATATTCAACTGTATCCACCTTGCACAGTTGTCATGAGAGCTTAATGATAAAATGGGTATAAATTAGCTTTGTAGTGGGAAACTGCTGTATGTTTAAAATTTAAGTTCAGTTATGACTTCAAATAATCATTTCAGCCAAATAGAATTTCCATATGTGGATGCAATATTTGGCGTCTGTCTGGACCATTCAAAGGGTAATAACCAAGTGGATGTATTTTATTTTTCCTACTCCAGGTATCCAGGCCTCAGAAAATTCTGCTTGACTAAAGCTTACTGTATAGAACAGGCTGGTTTAGATCAGGGGCTGTTTAATGCAAATATTTATTTTGCTTGTGGAAAAAGAAGACTATCATATTAGCAATATGAGAAATGGAGCAGGCTGACCAGGTTTAACAGGAAAAACAGAATGAGAAATCAAATAATTTT